CCCCAGAGACAGGCCAGGCTTAAAACGGCCCAAGGTTCCCAAATGTTACATAAACACGTGGGAGATGTGGGAGACCTCTCTTGCCAGGGCTCAGCTTGGCTTGGGAAGAGGGACCTTTCGTCTCCCTCTCCCACTTCCATGGAAGAGAGCCTTCTCATGGAAATGCGCATACTTTGCTCTTATGTTTTGAGCCGGACATCAAAAGGCCGATGAGAGATAACACTGTTTTTATGGCAAGGGGGGAAATTTGGGAGTCTCCACACTTAATCCTTCCTAACTGATGCTTCTCTTTCTCTCTCCCACTTTTGCTGTAAACCCAGAGACATGAGAAATCAAGAAGGGGTTAAGAAGGGTCATATTGCTGCTTTGCAGACCAAATAACAACCCCCCCTTCCATTATTTCTGGGAAATGGCTTATTAAAAAGTGAGCGTGAGAGAGGAGTCTGATAATTTCTGAGACATCACACAAACTTCTCCCGCAAGCCATGACGAACAAAAGACAGAAACCCCAATTTACCGGGAGGTGGTAGTCAGATCTGTTTTAGCCACAGCTTAAAACTGAACCTGAGAATGTACAGACAGTTTCTTTATTTGTTAGGGCCCCCCCCAGGTAGTGCCAGGGTTTTCCAGCAGGGGGCGGTCTCTGGGGACCCTCCCCATGGGAGTCAGTCCGCCTCTATATAGGGAGGTTGCAAAGGGAGAGCAGCCTTGGTCTGCCCCAGCTGTTAGCAGTATCAGTTCCGGACTCTCCCAAGACATTTTCTGCTTTCCCAATTGGACCCCTGTAAGTACTCTTTTTGACAGCAAATGAATTCTCCTGCTTAAGCCAGCGCTGCTGTGAGTTCAAAGTGAGCCCTGCTATCAGCCTGAAATTAATTGCTCCTCTTTGTAAGATGCAGTTAGGAAGTTTCCTTTGGGGCAGATGTAGAAACCGCCATGGCTTGGCATATAGAACTTTCTTTAGCAGGTGGGATTCCCAGTATGCTGAGCTTCCTGGAGATTTGCTACTGCTTTTTTTAGGGTGGGTTTTGTCTGTTTTTTAAATGCAATTTGTAAGGAGGAAGGGTGTAATATTCTTAAATGGCTAAGTAATTGTTCTTACCAAAACCACTCCGAGGCAAGGTGTGTCTTTCATGTAGAGGGACAAGGTTAAGAATGAAAATCTTTGCAGAGTTAATTATGGTATACAAGGCTTTAAGAAGCAGAGATTCAGCTGCAGCTTTCTTAAAAAGAAAATATATGCTGAGAAATCATTCATGGCAGGTAACTGAATTTTGACATTTTTCATCTTGGCAAATTGCCTTTTAACAAGCTACTGACATGAGAAAGGATTTGTTGCCAGTTATTACAGTGATGAATGAGTCCCACAGATGGTTCAAATTCCCCTAATGAATCGGAGATCTTAGTGCAAATGTATTCAAGCCATCTACTCGTTTGATCTTGGATTGCGGCATAAATACCAGCTTTTCCTTGACCTGTCGCTCTTCAGAGGTTGTTGGACTACAACTCCCAGCCGCCTTAACCATCGGACATGAAGGCTGGGACCGGTGGGAGTTGGAGTCCAATAAAATCTGGCAGACAGCAAGTTGGGGAAGGCTGTCAGCAGGCATGAGAGTATCTATCAATTTTCAGTTTTCTTAGTTTCTCATTTCCCCCCTAAATTCAGTTCTCTGTGCCTCTGCAACAATTTGCTGCCTAAAAAAATAAAAAACCTCAGCGTTTTAGTGCTGATTTTTCAGAATAAACACATTTCTTGCATGCAGCGTTGACAAATATACGCATAATATTTACTAATATGTGCATACTTTATCCTAACACTGCTTGGTTGGAAGACTGCACTGCAAAACTCAGAAGGGTGAGGGTTTTGATTGGTGGCTGTCCCTCGGTTTGCATTTGGTTTAGGAAAATGTGCATTTGTTAAGGTCGCCTTTCAATGTAAACTGAATTGGCTTTCTCTCCCCCCACCCCATCCCATCCTTTCGTTATCATGTATGATAAGGCCCTACCTTACAGGAGAGATGGTCATAGTCAAGCAAAAACCTGTTTTTTTTTCTTTTTCCTTTTGGTTTTTAAAAGGTTAAAAAGTCAGATCTGTCCAGAAGGAGCTGAGGCAGCTCCAAGGGCGTCCTTTTTTTTCTGGTGACATTTGGTTACTGGTTTGTTTTGTTTCATCCTCAGAAGGACAAATAAGGCAAAGGAAAGTATTAAGGCTTCAAATCAAAGGAAGGGGAAAGTCAGTAGATGGCAGTAAAGGAAAGCAACAGCCTTCGGGTTTGTAGCAGATGATGCTCACAAGCCTTCTATGCGCTCGCCAAAAGGGCGATTCCACATGCTGTTACATGGCCACAGCGGGGCTTGCAGATGAGCTCCCCATTGACAAGAAGCTGCAGCCACTTTTTGTTATATATTTACTGCATTGATAGCTCTCCTTTTGCTCAAGGGGGCCTTATGTGGTTCCCCCCACAACAACCCTGTGAGGCAGGGCAGGCTGAGAGGCACAGTGACTGGTCACCCAGGGAGCTTCATGGCTGAGTGGGGATTTGAACTCGGGTCTCCCAGGTCTCCTCTTAGCACTGTGGCTATATTCTTATTCTCCTCCTCATCATCATTGTCCTCCTCCCCCCCCTCCACATTCAGGTTACAGCAATGTAAAAATGTGAGTTTGAAATCAGATAAGTCATTTACAATCAGACTAGGGTGGGCCCTAAAAATATACATTTCAGGTGTCTGTAGGGAAGGAGGTGGTCTTTCAGGCAGACCCTCCAAGTACCCCTATTTTCCAGGGACGTCCCTGATTTAGAGAAGCCGTCCCGGTTTCTGATTTGATCCCAAAATGTCCCGCTTTTCCTTAGGACGTCCCTATTTTCATTGGAGAAATGTTGGAGGGTGTGGCGTTATCCAACCCCTGAGCCGTCTGAAGGCAATCCTGTTTAGGGAAGTTGTTGTTGTTATTTATGCTTTATGCTTTTATATATGTTGGAAGCTGCCCAGTGTGGCTTGGGGCAACCCATTAAGATGTGCGGGGTATAAATTATCATTAGGGAATGGGACGTCCCTATTTTCATCAGAGAAATGTTGGAGGGTATGTCTTTCAGGTATTCAGGGCCTGAGCTGCTTGGGGCTTTAAAGGCTAACATGAGCACCTTGGATTGGGCCCAGAAACAAACTGGTGTGTGTTTTTCTCCTTCATTCATTAAATTCTTTTTAGGTTGCACACTTGAAAAGAGTAGCACCTGAAGCACACCTAAAAGATTCATTTTGTGTAATCCTCCGCCACATCCACACTAAACACTTGAAGCTCTGTGATGCCACTTTAACTGTCATGGCTTCCCACAAAGAAACCTGGGAGCTGTAGTTTGTTAAGGGCGCTGAGAATTGTCGGGAGATTCCTATTCCTCCCACAAGGCTACAGTTCCCCGTGTTCCCCTCGAAGAGGGATTAATTGTGAAAACACTGTGGATTTTGTAGCTGGGATGTGCATGGAATAGGGGGCCTCCAATCAACTCTCAGCACCCACAACAAACTACAGTTCCCAGGATCCTTTGGGCTGGGGAAACCATAACTATTCAAATGCTAGGATATTCCTTTAAATACGTTGCATAATGGCCGATGTGCCCGTTATTAAACAGTGCCTCAGAACAGGAGCATTGTCAGGGAGTACATCAGAGGCATGTTCTCCTTCTCTTTCCCCTCTCTTTTGTAAAAACTCTCTCTCTTTCTTTATTACTTTGTTTACAGGGCAGCCGGGTGCACTTGCAAAGCTGGCAAGACCCCAGCTGCCTGCCATCTTAATTTGCCCAGAGGCAAATTAGCATACCTTAGCATATGCAAATTTGCCTCAGGAGCACCCCCCCAAACCCGGTGCTTGCTTGAAGCGGCTAGCAAAATCCACCCTGCAAGGGAGGACAGATCTGTGAGAGAAAAGAACCTCAAAAAACACTGAGGGCAAAAACCATCCGTCCGAAAAACGCCTCTCTTTTGCTAACTCGGCACCAAACATGCAAGTCGAGGTTTTGAGAGACGCGCTAATTCCCAGTGTCTTCTTGACGGTGGCCCCCTCAGGTCCTGTCCTCCTCAAAATATCGACTTGTCTGATTAGACTCATCAGCCACGCTGTCTCAGACATGAACGGTACCATTTTTTTAATTGCCCGACATGGCAAAGGACTTCGTTATTCCCTAAAAGGTATTTGTTTTGAACTTGTTATCGTTGGATTTCCTTTTTTTCTTTTTTGGCCGATCGGCTAGTAATGAGCAGAACATGCCCATATATGGTAGCCTACGTGGACCTCTCGCAAACAGATCCAGGGAGCTTTGCAAAGGACTTGGACTCTTTAGTTACGGGGATCTGGGTTCGCCTTTGAAGCTCAGTCAGTTTAAAAGGAAGGCGGCCGGGCGATCTCTTTCGGCCACCCCCCCTCCCACTCCGTTCGGTGACAGTTTGTGTGGCGTAGGTCCTGCTTTCAAAAGAGAAACCCCAAGCTGAGGCTGCAGATTTAATTAATAAAGCAAATAAATTTCAAAATATGCTGAAGCGGCGCTCGTGGCTGTGAAGGCCACATCGCACAAGACACCCTCCCTCTCAACAATGTGTCACTATCTCAAAAAGAAGCGGGTATCTCATAAAGACTTAAGATGGCCATGCCGGTGTTTGAACTGTTGGACTAGCAGAAAAACAGACGTCTCATTTACGTGCCGCCAAAGAGAAATTTGACCCATTATCCTTCTGTTGCCTCTTGGCAACCTTTTCCTCTTGTACAGAGAGGACCAAGCTCACAAATACACAGAAACCTTTGGAGAGATTGAATGGTTTGAAATATCCATGTTAAATATCTTAATGCTCCTCCATAGTTCATCGTGATTGTTTTCCGTCCCGATGGACTTGAAAAGTTTATTAGGTTTTCCCCCAAACACTTAATAAACATAAAAGAAGAATATCATAGAATTGAAAGGGACCACCAGAGTCATCTAGACCAACCCCCCTGTAATGCAGGAATCTTTTGCCCAACACGGGGCTCAAACCCACGACCCTGAGATTAAGAGACTCATGCTCTGCCGATTGAGCCATCCCAGCTACAGTAATGGGGCTTGTAGTCATAAGCACCTGGAGTGTGCACCAGGTTGGTGAACTAAGTTGTGCAAAATTATTTTTTGTTGCTGGAGCAAGACGGTTTGAGCATATTACACCGATCCTGGTCCGACTGCACTGGCTACCAATTAGTTTCTGGGCCCAGTTCAAAGTGCTGGTTTTGACCTATAAAGCCTTAAAAAGCTCAGGACCGCCATACCTCAAGGACCGCCTTGTCCCATATGAACCTACCCGGCCCTTGAGATGATCTTCTGAGGCCCTCCTTCGTGTGTCTTCTCCTCGAGAGGTCTGGAGGGTGGCAACACGAGAATGGGGCCTTCTCTGCAGTGGCTCCCCATCTGTGGCATGCTCTCCCCAGGGATGTTTGCCTGGTGCCTTCATTACATACCTTTAGGCCCCAGGCAAAAACATTCCTTTTAAACCAGGCCTTTGGTTGATCCGATTTACATCCTATGCCCTTTTAAAAATATTTTATTCTTGCGGGGGGGGGCTATTGAGTTGTCGTTTTTATTTTCATTATGTATTTTGTGGTTTTATATCTTGATTTTATTCTGTGAACTGCCCTGAGACCCCCGGGTATAGGGCAGTACAGTGGTACCTCAGGTTACATACGCTTCAGGTTACATATGCTTCAGCTTGCACACTCCGCTAACCCAGAAATAGTGCTTCATATTAAGAACTTTGCTTCAGGATGAGAACAGAAATCGTGCTCCGGCGGCACAGCAGCAGCAGCAGGCCCATTAGCTAAAGTGGTGCTTCAGGTTAAGAACAGTTTCAGGTTAAGAACGGACCTCCGGAACGAATTAAGTACTTAACCTGAGGTACCACTGTATATAAATTCAATTAATAATAATAATAATAATAATGATAACAACAACAATAATTTTAAAACTTTTTTTTTTTTAAACTATTTCTCTCAGGTGCCCATTAAGTCAAAATGGCACAGAAAGGCCAACTGAGCGATGACGAGAAGTTCCTCTTTGTGGACAAGAACATCCTCAACAGCACAGTGGCGCAGGCGGACTGGTCGGCCAAAAGCTCGTGTGGATCCCATCCGAGAAGCATGGCTTTGAGGCGGCCAGCATCAAGGAAGAGAAAGGGGACGAGGTTCTGGTGGAGCTAGCGGAGAATGGGAAGAAGGTGACTTGCAACAAGGATGATATCCAGAAGATGAACCCCCCCAAGTTCTCCAAGGTGGAAGACATGGCCGAGCTGACCTGCCTCAACGAAGCCTCCGTCCTGCACAACCTCAGAGAGAGATACTTCTCTGGCCTCATTTACGTAAGTCTGCGTTTGGTCCGTGGGCTGCATGCGCCACCTATTGTGGTGGCGATTTGTCACTCGCCCTGAGGCAGGTCACAACATCACAACACGGTATCTAAAACAGTTTAAAACAGCTTTAAATCATAAAGGTGAGGTGGGTCCTGAAAATACAGATCTCAAGTGTCAAAAAGAGGTGTGTCTTCACCCAGTAGCCAGAAGATGTGTAGTGAAGGTGCCAGGAGGACCTCTCTGGGGAGGGAACCCACAGCTTACAATAATAGAATCCTAGAATCGTAATAATAATAATAATAATAATAATAATAATAATAATAATAATAATAATTTTATTATTTATACCCCGGCCATCTGGCTGGGCTTCTCCAGCCACTCTGGGTGGCTTCCAACCAAATATTAAAATACAGTAATACATCAAACATTAAAAGCTTCCCTAAACAGGGCTGCCTTCACATGTCTCCTAAAAGTTTGGTAGTTGTTGTTCTCTTTGACATCTGGTGGGAGGGCGTTCCACACAGCGGGTGCCACCACCGAGAAGGCCTTAGGGTTCGTAGGGTTTGAAGGGACCCCAAGGGTCATCCAGTCCAACCCCCTGCAATGCAGAAATTTAAACCAAAGCATCCATGACAGATGGCCCTCCAACCTCTGCTTGAAGTCCTCCAAGGAAGGAGAGCCTACAACCTCCTGAGGGAGATAGTTCCACTGTTGGGCAGTTCTTACTTTCAGAAAGTTCTTCCTGATGTTGAGTCGGAATCTCCTTTCTCGTAGCTTGAAGTCACTGGTTCGAGTCCTACCCTTCAAAAGAAAACTTTCCCCCTCTTCCATGCGACGGCTCTTCAGATATTTGAAGATGGCTGCCATATCTTAGGGGCTGCCACAGAGAATTAACTTTTCCCAGGCCACCCCCCTCTGAGCTTCGGAGGCCGGTGGAAGTACCACTTGACCAGTAGTAGCACCCAAGAGGGTCTGTAGAGAAAGGAGTGCTGTTTCACATATTTGGTGCCTGAGCTGTATAGGGCTCTAAATACTAAAGTGAGCACCTTGAATTGGATCTAAAGGCTTTTGCCTTTCAGTTGGTGACTGGGAGCTGCTGGGTTTTGTTTTATTTGTTAATTAAACACCTATCATGCCCTTCCGCTGGTCGGCAAACAGCAAAGCAGTAAAATTACACACACACACACCACACACAAACACACCCCGCATCCAAAACCTGTGATGTTCAATGGTGTTAAAAGCCTTTGTGCAACCCTGTCTCTCTCCTTGTTAAGGTCACCAGGCAGGGCAACCAAGTCTGTTTCAGTGCTAAAACTGTGCCTGAGGCCAGACTGAGGCTGTGCAATAATAATAACAATTTGTTGTTGTTTAGTCGTGTCCGACTCTTTGTGACCCCATGGACCAGAGCACGCCAGACACTCCTGTCTTCCACTGCCTCCCACAGTTTGGTCAAACTCATGCTGGTAGCTTCGAGAACACTGTCCAACCATCTCGTCCTCTGTCGTCCCCTTCTCCTTGTGCCCTCCATCTTTCCCAACATCAGGGTCTTTTCCAGGAGTCTTCTCTTCTCATGAGGTGGCCAAAGTATTGGAGCCTCAGCTTCACGATCTGTCCTTCCAGTGAGCACTCAGGGCTGATTTCCTTCAGAATGGATAGGTTTGATCTTCTTGCAGTCCATGGGACTCTCAAGAGTCTCCTCCAGCACCATAATTCAAAAGCATCAATTCTTCGGCGATCAGCCTTCTTTATGGTCCAGCTCTCACTTCCATACATCACTACTGGGAAAACCATAGCTTTAACTATACGGACCTTTGTTGGCAAGGTGATGTCTCTGCTTTTTAAGATGCATATATAATTTATTATTATACACATAGAATGTACACATAGAATGGGAGTATCCAACCATCACAGAATTGTAGAGTTGGAAGGGACCTGAGGATCATCTAGTCCAGCCCTCTGTGGATTGGACCAAGAGGTTTGTTTAGTGTAGTCGGAGCAGCCAGCAAGATATTTCTGGGATGCTTGCAAGTAAGGCGAGCTAAAGCCCTCATCACCTGCCATTGTGGATTTAGCTGTGACAATTGCCCAGGCTGGATTGATTCTGTAAACAGGCCCAGCGTAGGCTGACAGTCCTTGAAGGTAGGATGTACTCTGCTCTTCTGGAGGAAAAAAAAAAAAGCAAACCCCCCTTCAGAGCCAAAACAGAGCCCTGAAGAATGAGTTGCTACGGACTTACTGAACCTATGCAGTTCAGCCCAGGGCATCTGAGCTGTTCTGGTCCTCAGCGCTGCCAACAGATATTTCTGCATTTGCTTTCATGCCATATAAAGTGTTTAGTTTGTGTGAAAAGTTTGGGCCGTCTCCTAATATGGTCAAGAAAGGGAAACCCCAGGCTTCAGATCTGTGCTCAAGGACATAGTGAGTTGATTTAAAAGGTCAGCCTCGGATGGTTTTTGTATAATTACATACTTGGGAGCTTTAATAAGAGATTAAGAAAACTGGGGGTGGCGGTGGAGAGAATTGGAGTTGTTGCAGAAATGCCCTCGGTGGATGCCTGAACCAGGTGTCTTGATCCCAAATTTTGCACAGATGCTTGGGGAAGAAGAAAGAGAGAAGGGAGGAAGATGTGGGCAAAATATGTCAGGGGTCACCCCTGAAAAAAATGTGTGAAGTAGTGCATAATAAAAAAAAACCTGCATGGTTATCCTAGAACAGTATCTGTGCTCTTACTGTTGGCAATGATCTTAAGCTTCTCATGTTGCAACACAGGCCTGTGTTGTTCCTGACATGTGTGATGGTAAAATTCTACTGTGGGAGAAAGACATGATCGAACTCCCTCCCTGGAACCCACTGGGCTCCTCCAACGAAGCTGAACGATAGGAAATTCAGGACAGACACCGCTTCATGTAGTTGAACTATGGAACTCACTGCCACAAGAAACAGTGATGGCGGCAGCCCATTTTAGTAGGCGGATCAGACAAATTCGCAGAGGGCAAGGCTAGCCGTGGTGTCTAAACGGAGCCATGGGAAAAGAGAACTGTAGTTGCGGGACAGGCCTTTGTTATGTTCTTAAGCATTGCTGGCTAACTTGTGCACTCTGGATATTGTTAGGCTACGGTTCCCATCATCCCTGACCATTGGCACTGCTGGCTGGAGCTGCTGGGAGTTTGAGCCCAAGAACCTTTGGAGGGGCCACTGCTTGGCTACCCCTATATCTTGTAGGTGCGGGTATCAAGTTGTTTGCCGCTGTGCAAATATTGCTGTGATACAAAAGAAATGAAAGAGGTTTATTTAGCTGCAAGAGTCCTTTGCTGACTGGACTGCAGTAAATGGGTGACAATGGGCGATTGTCAACTCAGTCAAATACACACACATGGAGAGGTCTCCTGGATCAGGCCAGTGGTCCATCTGTTCCAGCATCCTCTTCCCACAGTGGCCAAGCAGATGCCCGTGGGAAACCCACATCCAGGATTCGAACACAAGACGAAGTCTTCCCTCCTGTGGTTTCCAATAACTGCTATTCAGAAGCATCACACCTCTGTCGGTGGAGGCAAAGTTTAGCCAAACTGGCTACCAGCCACCGATTGCTTATTCTCCATGCATTTGACCAGTCCTTTTTCAAAGTCAGCCAGGGTCGTGGCCCTCGTTGCCTCCTGCAGGTGAGAGTTCCATAAATAGGGTTGCCCTATCTTGAAGAGCAAAAAATAGGACAG